AAAGTTTGAAGAAGATTCTTGTAGAGGGGGAAAAGGGGTGATGGTTGAATCTGATAATAGGCTTACCCGAGTTCGAGAGTTTTGGTGTCTTTAAGTTTCGAGGTGTTTACAAGAAGGGAGGGCTTTAATGGGGACTGTCTGTGTCAATTGATTGGACTTTTGATAGTGACACTGTTAAGGGTTGTTCTTAGATATGCGGAGGTCGATTTGTTGTGTTGTTTTTGGGGTTTTTTTATCGCTTACGTCGAGAGATAAAAAATATAATTTAATGGTATATATTTTTAGATTAGAAGGATAATAATGGAAATGACAAATAATAATTTTTAGACGAAAAAGAGTAATTTTATTTAATCGTACGATTTCTAATTCTTTCAAAATCGAATTTCTATTGATTTATGAGATATATTTTTCTGATATTTATCATTTACTCAATTTAAAATATCAAATGTGAAAGGAATTTTATTAATTTTTCTTTGATATTTTATCAATATTTCATATTAAAATAGAATATAATTTTTCATAATACAAAGATAAAAATCGAATTCAAGTTACATATCTATTTAACTATTGTCGGATTAAAACCATTGTTCGAAGATTGAGATTAAAACGCGAGAATAAGTTTCCCAGATGTTGAGGTAACTAAAAACTTTTAAATGAATATTTCAAAATTGTGAAGTAAAATCTAATATGGCCATAAATCATATTATTAAATTAACAAAGAGAAGAACCTTTTTAATTCGAAATATACTGCTTTCATGAAAAATAACATCCTCGCATTTCTAAAAGCGCTTTTAATATTTTCCTTTACGTAACTCATATGCACTTCCGATTCAACTGAATTAACACAATCAATTACATATACTTAAGACACGCAATCCATAATGTCAAAGTGCAACGAGTTCAAACTGTGTCATTTTCATGTATAAAGGTTAAATGCTTGTTTAAAAATAAAGAAAGAATATTTTTAATCGTGTTAAACATAAAATAATTATGGATTTTTCGTTAAAAGAAAAAAATCTCATAATTGATTCTCCATAAAAATATAAAACACTGTAAATTTTAAAGAAGTTTAGATATACATTATATCTTAAATTGAGAGTTTTGAGAAGCAAGGGGGAAGGATAGATTTGACAGTTCCATTTTCGACAGTTCTATTTTCGACAGTTTTTGAATTATGGTATATATATATATATAACATACTAAAAAAAAAAAAAAAGATTTACCCCGGGGGGGGGAGATTTTACCCAGGAAACCGCGCTTTAAAAAATATTGGTTTTTTTTAAAAAAACCCAAATTTTTTTAAACCCTTTTTCCCTTTTAAAAACTTCCCCCCCCGGAGTTTATTTTTTTTTTTTTTTAGTATATTATATATATATATATAACATACTAAAAAAAAAAAAAAAAAAGATTTACATCGTGTGGTGTAGATTTTAGCAAGGAATAAGCGATTTAACAAATATTGGATTTTTTTAAAATACAAATATTCATTGCTATATATATGTATATTTGTGCAATGAAAATGCAAATTGATATTTTTATCAAACAAAGGATATTATTAACTTATAGAACAACGAATAACTCGATAAATTATACATATTTTATTGCTTACTGTTAACACTTTTATTGATAGTTTGAATAAAAATTCGTCAAAAATAGGAATAAAGAGTTATCAACATAAAACAATCAATTACTTCTATAAAAATATATATACTTTTTCTATTAATCTTTTTTTTTTTTTTCCATTAAATGAAAGCAACATTTTACAAGCAATTTTCATTCAATTTTCCTAAAATTGTTACAAATAAATCTGCGCCTTTTAGCGGCCTCGATTGCGCTACGCTTTAACCATTGTTTCATTCGCGAACGAATCCACCCCAACGAAAGACTTCCGCTCCGCTTTAACGAGTTAGTAATCCGTTTCAGACTGATTAAGTCCACCAATCGAAATTTCCCGATCTTTTTTTCCTTCCCTTTTATTTCTTTTTTTTTTTTCCCCTTCCCTCCCTATCTCTATCTCTATCTCTCCCCATTTACCTATAAACGAGTCGACATAACGGCCGAGCCATCCGCTTGTTTGTCCACCGTGCGCGGTTCGGATAATCTGACCGGTCGAATTATCCTGGTTAACGTCAAATAGCTCGGCACGCCATCAAATAATTCGTTTCACGCCAGCTAATCCGAGGCTGCGGCAAAGATAATTCCCGACGTATTCCAGGATTATTTGCTGCGGCTTTGGATTATTTGGCGCATCAAGTGAGCCGCACTTCAACGGCATGCACAAACGGCCCGCTCTCGAAAACACAACGACGCAGGTAGCAACAGCAGTAGCAGCAGCAGCATCAGCAGCAGCAACAACAACAACAACGGCGGACAATCGGCCGACC